GTGTTGGTTAAAATTGGATGTGGTCATGTCCTTCACAGGAATTGCAAGTGAAAGCGAATGCTGTCTGCGAGACAGACACCACTCTGGGAAGAAATAAAATACAAATAATGACATAAAAATCAACTAGGCTTAGAAACAGAAACATTCACAACGTTATGAAGAGCACACAGTATGTATGAGCAGTAATGACGTTTCCAAATCTATAAGCCGTCACATTGACTGCTCTGGGAGTCTGGGAACATTATGGACTCTATCAGCTGTATGACAATGATCACCCCCTGGTGGCTGAGTAGATAGCACTCATGCTTCTCAGCAAGAAGGTCTTGGGTTCAAATCCCGGTTGGAACAGGGCCTTTCTGAGTGGAGTTTACACGTTCTCCCCGTGTCTGTGTAGGTTTCCTCCCGCTACTTGAGTTTCCACTTCCACTAAAAACATGTACAATAGGTCTGGCATGCTCCTCCTGTACTGGCGATCCTGCTCCTATCTCTGTGTGGAGTGAGGGACAAATGCCCCCCCCAAAAAGTAATAATAATAATAACAAATGTAAACTGGTCTGTGACAGGTGGTATATAAATAAAGATTACTTACTTTCTGCTGGGACTCTGAGGAGCACAGGGACGGGCCTCTTGCTGGTCCCAGAGTGAGGACCATAAGGAGGCAGCATTTCAGATTTATGCAGCTAAAATCGGGAACATTCTACTCCAAGAATAATCAAATCCAGGTTTTGTTTCAATGTACATACCACTGACACTATACTGACGCTGAATAATTTGTTTTTGAACCCCTATTTTGAGAGATTTAGTCTGATTTTTTAACATGAAATTATTTATCGAAATTGAGATTATGTATTGTCTTTTTAATTGCATTTATGAAGCACTTTAAATTGCCTTGCACACGCATTGTGCCATACAATTAAATGTGAATTGATTGGTATAACATTACAAGAGTCATTCAATAGGCTGTGTGTAAATAATGGAGTGGATGAGCGCGTTGCTATCAGGTTACACTCGGCCACGGATACATCTCTGCTTATGTTGGGGACGGCAGCAGTGACTGTTCTTACACTTAAAGCTGAGGTACCTAACTTTCACACTACAGACAACAACAATAACAAAGTCACTTATAGTTCCACACTGAAACAGTTTGCTTCTATCCCTAATGTCACATGTATGCATCATATTGGCCTGTGCTCACAAACAAAACATGGTTATGGTGAATTTTAAGACTGGCAGAACTCCCAATTCTCAAAAAATAGATTAAAATCTTTCTTTAGATGAAAATGTTTGCTAAATTCCCACATGTTTTAAAGGGGATGAGTTCATACTTATTTTTAAAAATATGGGATTTTAAATGTGAGTCAGAGGTTGCAACTCAGAGCTTCCCACATATTTGAACTGCTACCTGGTTTAGACTGGAGTTTCAGAAAGAAAGAGAGAGAAAGAGAGAGAAAGAGAGAGAGAGAGAGCCTTGTGTGCTTCCGGAAGAGGGGGTGAACAGAGCAGAGATGATGAGGGTGGATTCTCCTGGAGGAAGCCGGCCCTGATAGCTCTCTGGACACGGGCTTCCTGTTGTGTGCGTCAAAGCTCAGGTCAGTACCGCTGTGGGACCGGACAGAGCTGGGGTTTTCCATTCACATCATTCAATTCCTCACAAAGAATCGTTAAGCGCTTTGTGTGTCACTGGTCTGTACATTTATTGTAAAATGTCCTTATCAACTAAATAAAAACATGAGATCATTTACTGCTGTAAGACTCCCAATAATCATATTCTTATGCAGAGTGAATCTATTAGATCTAGGAGGAGCAACAGTTTCCAAAAGTCCTGTTGTCAACTTTTTCTGCCTGCAATATTATATGTTTTGCTAAAATGCCTCAGTCCTGGATCTACAGCCTCAGTTCTGGATCTACAGCCTCAGTTCTGGATCTACAGTCTCAGTCCTGGATCTACAGTCTCAGTCCTGGATCTACAGTCTCAGTCCTGGATCTACAGTCTCAGTCCTGGATCTACAGTCTCAGTCCTGGATCTACAGTCTCAGTCCTGGATCTATAGTCTCAGTCCTAGATCTACAGCCTCAGTTCTGTACATGAGTTGAATTGCCATAACAAAGAACAGACAACAGTAATAACTGAAACAACTTTTTAATAGTTGAAATAAATATTCCATTACATGCAGGATCCAAACTCAAACACAGACCATGAGAACCATCCGAGAGGAAACGTGTAAAGCCCAAAGGCACACAGACACAGCAGAGGTAAGGGGGTCGGGGTATGTGGGGTCTCATTCACAACCAGCGTGAACCAAACCAGTCAATATGGTGCTGTAACTACACAACAGAGGCACATGGTCATTCTTCTGGTCATACAAGCGGTTTTAAATGTGTTACTCTACTGTGCTCTACTCTCCTCTGATTGGGAGCCTTTCCACTGGTCTGACTGTGAGAATTCTGTAAGAAACGATAAATAATCTTTTGAAATGTATTAGTTTTTGTTTATTTGACATTTTAGCAGTGATTTTAGTCTTTTTAACAGGAGAAACTTGTGGTACTAAAGGTTGTAGCTGGAGAGGACGAGGGAAGGGCTAATGCTTGTTTCAAATCACACTTAAACCAGGCGTGTGAGGTTTTCTATATGTTGTTTACTATTGTTACTATATAAACTATATTTCATGAAATTATCTTTTATATTTGAAATGTGAGGAGTTCTACCTTTAACCAGTCATTTTGACTGCTCCATTCATGTGAATGTAAAATTCAAATGTTCTATGGGTGTGTTCTTAGCCATAGAACATTTCAAACAGAAGAACATTAGTTCTTTTTCTCCAAGTCCCTGGTCCGACTGGTCCTGGACGAGGTTTAGTGCAGCTTGTTTTTCCACCAGAGAAGAGCAAGAGGTAGTTACCATAGCAACACACTGTTTACTTGAAGCATATATATAAATATGGTATATATATATATATATATATATCTATAACTAATTATTTTTAATAAAACTGGTGGTAAACTTCCCACTTTTGTGGAGATTTTGTTCAAAATTCCACGGGTTTGAAAGGGGGCAGTCAAAATGAAGGCTCTGGGAGATGCAGTGAAAACAAAAGTGTCCGTGTTACTCAGACGTCTGGACACCCCTGTTTTCTCTCTATCAACGAGCAGAATTCACAAAATTACACCACATTGGATCTCATAATCCTAAATATAATCTTAATCTCGTTCTTACACCGACATCATTCCCGCTCAGAGAGATTTAAAGGCATGGGACGTGGTGCATTCATTGTATTGATGCTGGAAACATTGCATTTTTGTCAAATTGTAAAAACAAAAGTGAGGTATTCGATAACAGCTATAAATGTTATGTTCTCCATCCAACACAAGCTCACGGTCGGCCAGGGGTTCTCAAAGTGGGGGGCATAAGACAATAAAAAAATTTAAACGCTGTATTTAACTAAAAATTAAATCATTTAAACTGGGGTACAATAATAATAATACATAGAAGAGCCCTGTGAGACAGTATTTGACTCTTTGGGCTGAGTGAGGGTGGTCCTCTCTTTTTCACGTATCTGTCTGAAAAAGCTGATCCAAAAGATGTGAAAGAGGCCAAAAACACACATGAGAAAACTAGTGATAGAAAAAAACTGTTTAGGGCCAGGATCTAGAGACATGGATTTTATTACAGGTAAGTTAGGTACCCCAGCTTTAGGTTATATTTGAAGTTATCAAGTAATGAAAGTTCACACATAATGTGGACTAAAAGCTTTGCTGGAACCAAAATGGGCCTGTACATTTAGACCTACTTTAGACCAGCTTTGGTCCCAGTTTGGACTTGCTTTAGACCCACATAAGTCCTGATTTTGTCCTGGTTCAGTCCTGAATAACAATTAGGGGATGTATTAAATTGAAAAGCTGTTGTGGAGATGAATAAAGGTTTAATAATTGCTCATGGATTCTTGAACACAGATCAGTATCACGTTATTTTGAATGGGACCAGAATGGGCCGATAAACTGAACTGTTTTATAGAAATGAATCATATTTTCAGTTCAAACTTTTTTCAGGATTGCCGTACCGTCCCATGCCTTTTGAGTTTGTGAGTGTGAAATCCCTTCTCACATCCAGGTTCAAAACTACAAAAACAAAGCTTCGTCATGAAGTCCTTGGGTTTGTTCAAATAAAACAGAAATCAATAAAAAACAAACAGCCTTCCTGTTTTGTTTAGTGTTGCTAACATCGCTGAGCGAACAATAGAACACACAAGAGAAGACACACAGGTGAAGTTATGTTATAAAACACATTTCGTTTTGAAGTAGCTTTAGACTGAACCAAAAGTGTAGCGTCAACACCTAAAGCTGGGGTACCTGACCCCCCCCATAAATATAACATTATATTATTTTGTAATATGTTGGCAGTTTCTAGTGATCGGGAGAAAATCCGACCACAACAACCTGCCATCTTCTTATTAGATCACTTTTCCAATCTCCAGGTGCTCCGGTTTCCCCTTACACTAAAAACGATAGATGTGGCATGCGCCTCCTGCAGGTGACCGCGCCCCCTTCTCTGTGTGGAGTCAGAGACAAATGGCCACAACAATTGTAAAGCGCCTGTAAGCACTTGTAAAGTGTAAAGTGACTCTGGTCTGTTGTGAAAGACGCTATAAAAATAAAGAATAAAAAGGAAGACTGGTGAAGAGAATAGCTCTTAATAAAAAGTTGGGACACCTCTGGGGTACAAAATAAATCCAACATTTAAAGCTAATCTAAAATTTTAGATGAAACCAATCTTGCTTTTTGTGGTTTGAAAGTTAGGCACCCCAGCTTTAACAGCAGTCATGTCCAAGGCTTAAAAGATTATTTTGATCAAACAAAAATGAAAAGAAGCGTGTACTGCTTCATTAACACATGTCACGGCAGAAGGCCGCTGCCTTCTTTGCATTTTTATCTAATTAATAAAACCTTTAAGTATAAGACATAATTAACGTTTTACATTTAATTTATTCAAGTCCATTTCTGAGTCTAATTGACGGCGTGCACGTTGACGGGAGGCAGCGTGCGTGGCGAGGAGCGCTCCCTCAGTGCCTGAGTGAGCAGCGTGCAGCCATCCGACACGGCGCATGCAGAGTTCCGCAGCCGTTCCCTGTAGTCGGCCATCTTGGAACTACTGTCCGGACGCTGTGCCACGTCCCTGAGCCCCTGTGTCAGCAGCACGCACGCCGACACCACGCTCATGGCCCCGCCCAGCACAGCGGTCTGCACGCCTTTCCCCTCCGACGAGACGCCGGCGGGACGACCCACAAACTGCGGCTCTGTGGCGAAGCCAACAAGAGCGCTGACGGCCTGCACCAGCGCCGCACTGAAGAGCACACAGCGGCTCCGGGTCAGCTCGCTCGGCTGCGTCTTTACCTCCTTCACACATGCCAGGAACGCCGTGCCGCTGGTGCACATGCTTTTCACCGCCATTTTGAACTGCTCCTTGGGGAAGCGGTCGCGGCACCGGTCGCTGGCCAGGGACGAGATGTCGGTCAGCGTTCTGAGGTTGGTGGAGATGTTCTGGGAAAGCTCCAGCAGGAGTTGAGGCGTGAGGTCCAGCAGCGGCGTGATGCGCAGTACGTTGCAGCTCTGTTCCACCTCGTGCCGACAGCGCGTCACTTTGTAGCGGTCCACAAGCCCTGGCAAGCACGGCGTGCAACCCGCTGTCTCCAGAGCGCCCAGGTACGCGGCGTGGGCAGAACACTCGGTCAACGACACCACCAGATCTGCCATCTCCAGCAGCCGATCCCCCACTTCTGTGAACCGTCCCATATTTAACTGGCTTTGAATGTCGTGCGTGAGAATGGACAGCTCTTTAGTCCTGGCGATGACAGTGTCTCGGCACTGGTCGAACGTGTCGGCGAGCGGGACCCCGTCGGATGCCATGACGGGCCGAGTCTCGCTGGACAGCAACAGCAGGTCGGCCACCAGCTGCATTTTTACTTTGCACGAGTCACAGACAGAGGAGAGCCTTTTCCGCTGCTGGGAACTGCCGCTCGGGATGGAGTTTGAAGCTTCGCTCGCAGACTTCCCAGATCCTCCACTCGCCATAATCAGGAGCAGGGTCCGAGAGGGTGCGGTCCAAACTCGGGCTATTTATAGTCTCTGCTGCATTGTTCTGTTCAAGACATGTCCACAATAAGCACTACTATAAAATGTTATACATGATATAATACAAAGATAAACTGGCTCAAAAGTCAACCTTCAAAAAAGTAACGCACAAAAGTTAAGTACTTGCTTGTGATAAATCTCCATCTTGCTACAAAACTAGTATTATCTGGCATACAGTAGCCTACAGGTTAGTTTAAAAACAAATATATGCATTATCAAAACTATATGTAACCTTAGTAAATGCCCTGATCAAATATATTCGTCTTCTACAGTCTGATTAAAAAACATTCACGTATATTAAAAGTGATAAAAAAGCAGTGCAACCTAAATGCCTGTAGAAAAGTGCAGGCTGAGATTATACAAAAATAAAGTCTTGAAATAAAGATTCCCAATAGGAATCCCATATGCACTTGCTAACTATCTCACTGTTATAGTTGTAAAAACTATACATGGGACTTTTTTTTACTTTGTGGACAGAATACATCTTGAACTAGCACCAAAGTCTTGTCCAACTTCTCCCCACCGACCGTGAGACCCGGTTTGGAGCGTTCATTCCCGGGTAATAACTCTTCATGGAGGCAGCTTCAATTCTCCTTTCCCAAAGCAGCAGCGCCATCACTCCACCAAACTTAGATCCAATTCATTGAAAATAAACGTGTTAATCCACTTTCAACCGCTTCTTCTTGAGATTCAGCCCTGGTTTACCGGTCTGCAGTGGCTCCAAGGGTCGCTCCTCTGACGCCATATGCATCGTCAGTCCGTCCGCCCTGCGCCTTCTCCTCTTCGGCCACTAGTGCGTCTGAGCCCGGGGGCATGGAGCGTGTGGAGTCCCGCTGGTCCATGCGCGCGTCTCCCGTCCATTCCCTGGTGGCTCATTGGCCCTGGCCCGGTCTCAGCGCTGGAGCAGTGTTCCCACAGCTCCAAAGCGGGCTGTCTGCGTGAGGAAGCGGGGAGGGTGTGGTCCCAGCTCGGGTGAAGTTTGGAGAGTCGAGAGAGGAGTGCTCCCGGCGGGTTCGCAGCCTCAGTCCTGGAGCCCGGGACTGGTCTGAGGCGGCCCGCGGCGGTTGGGAGACCGGGGAGGAGAGTCCGGTTACTGGCAGGGAGGCACCGGTTGAAGTCTACGGGAGGAACTCTGAGCAGAAGCCATGAGACTCTGGCCCGGCTGCGTCAAGTGCGCGTCCACCGCTCCAGAGGCACCGTTTCACAATAAAAGCCGTGTTTTTAACATAGATTGACATTTTTAATCAATGATTCATGACATATTTAACCAACTTATAAGCACCACTTCAAACCCATGTTATTGAACTTAGAAGCATTGCTAACCACTTCAAATGTGTGTTCATGACCTTAGAAGCACTGCTAACCACTTCAAACCCATGTTATTGAACTTAGAAGCATTGCTAACCACTTCAAATGTGTGTTAATGACCTTAGAAGCATTGCTAAACGTTTCAAACGTGTGTTAATGAAAGTAGAAGAATGGCTTATCACTTACAGCGTGTGTTAATTCACTAAGAAGTATTGCTTACGTGGATAACAACTTCAAACATGCATTAAGGAATTTATAAGCACTGCTAACCACTTTAAATGTGCATTCTCAAATGAAGGCATGTTCTTCGTTAGTCCTTATATGGCTCATATCTGGATTTACATAGATAATATATAATTTTTATGTGCAACCAAAGCTCCAAAGTTTTATCTTAATATTTTAATATATAATTAACTATTACCATAAATAGTAGATCCTGTTTGATGTGTGCAACCTGCGTGCTTTTCTTTTCTCCTTAGAGAGCTAAAGGAGTTTACTTTTACATGTAAGTCAATAGAAACCAGAAACAATCATGAGCGCATTGTCCATCTATGTACAATGTGCATAGATGAAACAGATTTTTGTTTGTTCTAATCTGCACACACCCAAATACATAATTTTTCACATTTTTTCACATTTTGTTTTGAATAATAACTATTTTATTTTGAAAAATCCTGTTACTGTTGCATGGCCATGACCCCGCCCCCCTCCCCGTCTCGTGACCAGAACTCACTTCAGCCAATCAGAAGGCTCCATCTGGAAACATGGCTGCGGACTTCAGGTTAAGGTGTTTGGTGCTGTTTCTTTGCACCACTTTACTGTGTTTCTGTGTCGCTCAAGACAAAGACAAGGCCAAGAAGAAGAAGGACATCAGAGACTACAATGACGCGGACATGGCTCGGCTTTTGGAGCAGTGGGAGGTGCGAGAACCGAGCAGTTTGCCTGGAGAGGGGTGACGTTAGCTGCTGGCTAATTATAGAGAGCTAACAGAGAGTGGTAGCCTTGTATTAGACATGCGTGGTAAACTGTAGCTGTCATTTCTATCCACTCTTGTTTTCACCAGCATAACACATGGAGAAGTTTGTCTAGAAAGTAGACAAAAAGAAATACTAGGATTGCATTAATATAAATCTAAATAAATGAATAGTTGCTTTAAATCTCCAAACAATCTGCTTCTATCACTGCTTTTCACATGTATTAATGGTCTATGTCACATCTAGATCGGCTGTTTCTGGTCTCGCTGGTCTGTCTCTAGTTTTTCTCTCTTGTCTCTCTGGTTTTTTTCTCACTCTCCTGTGATATCTCTGGTCCATCTCTGGTGTCATGGGTTTAATGATGTAAATTACTACATAATATTTAAAACCATACGTGTGGGTATTAAATTGATTGCAGTTCAGGAAAATTGATATACATTCTGGGCCATATAGCCAACTCAATTCCAAAAATAAATAGCATCTGATTTTAATATTTTAATCTCACAATACTGGAATGTGTGTGTGGTGAGTTACCATAGATTATAAGCCAATGTCAGGTGGTTGCCTTCGCCCATCCCACAATAGTGCTGTTTTACAAGATTTTCAAGTTTAGACTTTGACTTTTGGAAACACAGAAGGAAGGTGACCGGGAGCTCATTCAATGTATTTGTGTCTCGTCCTGAATCACAACAGCAGTTGTCTCGGAGGACTTTACAAAATTATGGATTCACCAAAAACAGATCAGAGTATCAAACCGTTTGAACACAGAAAATGCAATGACATAGGAGCCATTGGTCCATAGAGAGAGGGATGGTCACTGTCCAGGAAAGTTAATCAGTGTCTCGGATCGTCACTGCCCTCAGACCCATCCGCATCGGCCAGGAACCAGTTGAAAAATTGGAGGCGGTAGATCCAAGACTGAGGCTGTTGTTCGCGATATCATCATAAATCAATGTGCTGTGTTTCCAGTAACCTTTGTCTGTTCTGTTTTGTGCAGGAGGACGATGACATAGAGGAGGGGGACCTGCCCGAGCACAAGCGTTCTCCTCCTCCCATCGACTTCTCCAAAGTGGACGCGTCGAAGCCCGAAGACCTGCTTAAGATGTCGAAGAAGGGGCGCACTCTGATGGTGTTCGCCACAGTATCTGGAGACCCAGACGAGAAGGAGACGGAGCAGATCACCGGGCTGTGGCAGGGCAGCCTGTTCAACGCCAACTATGACATCCAGAGGTCAGAGGTCACCACACTCACCACACTCTCTGCATCCATCTAGAACAATATCCTAAGAGACCATGAAGACAAACACACACATCTGACCAGAGAGACCATGAGGACAAACGCACACATTCTGACCACTGAGACCATGAAGACAAACACACACATCTGACCACTGAGACCATGAGGACAAACACACACATCTGACCACTGAGACCATGAGGACAAACACACACATCTGACCAGAGACCATGAGGACAAACACACACATCTGACCACTGAGACCATGAGGACAAACACACACATCTGACCAGAGACCATGAAGACAAACACACACATCTGACCACAGAGACCATGAAGACAAACACACACATCTGACCAGAGAGACCATGAAGACAAACACACACATCTGACCACAGAGACCATGAGGACAAACACACACATCTGACCACAGAGACCATGAGGACAAACACACACATCTGACCACAGAGACCATGAGGACAAAAACACACATCTGACCACAGAGACCATGAGGACAAACACACACATCTGACCACAGAGACCATGAGGACAAACACGCACATCTGACCACAGAGACCATGAGGACAAACACACACATCTGACCACAGAGACCATGAGGACAAACACACACATCTGACCACAGAGACCATGAAGACAAACACACACATCTGACCAGAGACCATGAGGACAAACACACACATCTGACCAGAGACCATGAGGACAAACACACACATCTGACCACAGAGACCATGAGGACAAACACACACATCTGACCAGAGACCATGAGGACAAACACACACATCTGACCAGAGACCATGAGGACAAACACACACATCTGACCAGAGACCATGAGGACAAACACACATCTGACCACAGAGACCATGAGGACAAACACACACATCTGACCACAGAGACCATGAGGACAAACACACACATCTGACCACAGAGACCATGAGGACAAACACACACATCTGACCACAGAGACCATGAAGACAAACACACACATCTGACCAGAGACCATGAAGACAAACACACACATCTGACCAGAGACTATGAAGACAAACACACACATCTGACCACAGAGACCATGAAGACAAACACACACATCTGACCAGAGAGACCATGAAGACAAACACACACATCTGACCAGAGACCATGAGGACAAACACACACATCTGACCAGAGACCATGAAGACAAACACACACATCTGACCACAGAGACCATGAGGACAAACACACACATCTGACCAGAGACCATGAGGACAAACACACACATCTGACCAGAGACCATGAGGACAAACACACACATCTGACCAGAGACCATGAGGACAAACACACACATCTGACCAGAGACCATGAGGACAAACACACACATCTGACCAGAGACCATGAAGACAAACACACACATCTGACCATGAGACCATGACAGGACAAGACACACACACATCTGACCAGAGACCATGAGGACAAACACACACATCTGACCGAGACCATGAGGACCATGAGGACAAACACACACATCTGACCAGAGACCATGAGGACAAACACACACATCTGACCAGAGACCATGAGGACAAACACACACATCTGACCAGAGACCATGAGGACAAACACACACATCTGACCAGAGACCATGAGGACAAACACACACATCTGACCAGAGACCATGAGGACAAACACACACATCTGACCAGAGACCATGAGGACAAACACACACATCTGACCAGAGACCATGAGGACAAACACACACAGACATCTGACCAGAGACCATGAGGACAAACACACACATCTGACCAGAGACCATGAGGACAAACACACACATCTGACCAGAGACCATGAGGACAAACACACACATCTGACCAGAGACCATGAGGACAAACACACACATCTGACCAGAGACCATGAGGACAAACACACACATCTGACCAGAGACCATGAGGACAAACACACACATCTGACCAGAGACCATGAGGACAAACACACACATCTGACCAGAGACCATAGGACAAACAACACACACATCTGACCAGAGACCATGAGGACAAACACACACATCTGACCAGAGACCATGAGGACAAACACACACATCTGACCAGAGACCATGAGGACAAACACACACATCTGACCAGAGACCATGAGGACAAACACACACATCTGACCAGAGACCATGAGGACAAACACACACATCTGACCAGAGACCATGAGGACAAACACACACATCTGACCAGAGACCATGAGGACAAACACACATCTGACCACAGAGACCATGAGGACAAACACACACATCTGACCACAGAGACCATGAGGACAAACACACACATCTGACCACAGAGACCATGAAGACAAACACACACATCTGACCAGAGACCATGAGGACAAACACATGAATGAGATATTAAAGCGTGTTCCAAACTGTCTGATGTAAGACGTGATTATCAACTCATAATAAAGTAGTTATAAAGATGTATAGGGCCTCCTCCATCTACACCTGCGGACTGCCCCGCCCGACCCGCCTGGGAGTGCTTCAGTCCTGCACCGGACATGTCCACGTTCAGCGGCCACTGGTCCACGTTCTGTAGCTAGCTTAGGTCCTGGATCATTAGCCTGTCCGTCCGGAGGAGCGGATCCCTTTCTCAAATGGGTCTCCCTCCTTGTGGGTTTCCCTAGTGCTCCCCAAGGTTTCTCACTTTTTCCCACTGGGTTTTTTAAGAGTTTTTCCTTGTCGATGCAGGAGGGTCTTGTTGGACAGTTAGTGTCCAACAGAAAGGATTGGTGATGATCAGGACACTTTAGCATTCTATAACATGTATGGACATTTTCTTCTGTGTGTGCTTTATATTCTCCATGTGTTTTAACTGTTGATTCTCTGACCTGTGTTGGTGATTTCAATGGTTTTGTTAAGTCCTCTGAGATGACTTCTGTTGTGACCTAGGGCTATACAAGAATAAATTGTATTGTATTTTATAGTCTCTCTCAGAAGAGACTAATGCTAGTTCCCAAAGTCGAGCCTAAACATGGGGAGGCAGCATTTCAGATTTATGTCGTTAAAATCTGGAACAGTTTTCCTATAAATGTTGTAAAAGTTTCTCTACAACAACTGAAGGATTGTATCATAAACTCTTTTTAATGCAGTGTGATTATGATTTCAATTTCTTTTCTTGTTTTGTTGAGCGCTATACAAATAACCTTGCCTGACTTGAATTCATGTGTATCTCCTCGCAGGTTTGTGGTGGGGTCCAACCGTGTTATCTTCATGCTGCGTGACGGCAGTGTGGCCTGGGAGGTCAAAGACTTCCTGGTGTCGCAGGATCGGTGCGCAGAGGTCACAGTGGAGGGACAGGTGTTCCCGGGGAAAGCTGCCAAACCAGACCAGAACAAGAAGCAGAACCAAGCCAACCCCAAGAAGAAAAACAAGAAGAGCGAGAAGAAGCCAGACTTGGGCGGAAACACGGCCAGTAAGAAGGTGGAATTGTGATGGAGTTTGGACAATTACTGTAACGTTTAAGAAGCTTTGTCAAAATGTTTGTCCCTAAAGTCATGGGTCATATTCCTGTCTGTGTATTATACATGGACTGCATACAGAAGGACAATGCTAACCTGCTAGCTAGAGCTATTCCCTAGCAATAGGAAAGTGCATTAAGTTTGGTTCCATTTCCTTCTGGCTCCTCTTGCTCAGTAACCGTTTGAGTCACACTGACCATTTTGGGATTAAAATGGTCATACTTTGATATTGTTTGTAAATTCAGATATGACCTATAGGAATGTCCAATCAGATGCCTTCATTGTTGGGGTGGAAACTCCAGCTTGCCTTAGGTCAAAATCTCTGTTAAAATTTCCCGCCACAGTGAGTACAAGTGATTGAAAAATACCCTAAATTAGCGTATAAAAGGGTCAAAATGACTCGGGCATGGTCAAATTAATAGAAATCAACTGGGTATCTTTTATTTGCTGTGGTGGGTCAATTTGTCCCAAGGATAGCAGGTAGAAGGGTTCAGCTGCGTTTCCACCAGCCCTACTCGGCCCTACTCAGCCCTGCTCTACTCTACCTGATAGGGTGTTTCCCTGTTTTACCAGTACCAGGTCCTTCTTTAGTCCCTCTTGGCCGAGCTGGTACTAAAGCATTCTCACAGATAGTGATAGGCCAGAGTGCTGCTGGAAGTCATGGGTACCAAGGAATTTCCCGGGTACTGGTTTGTTGTGGCTAGGTTACTCTTTATGATCCCAACGTGTTTTCATCCTGAATGAGCCATGGGTCTGAACGACCATAGGGAAAAGAGAGTGGGGGTTTTAAAGTAGGGCTAGTGGAAACTGGGGATTTAGCTCCAGCTATCTTGTGTTCAAATCAGCTTCTTCTGCATTAAGGCGAGCACTATGGTGATGTCACAGTCATACAGTCTATGGTATTACTGTCACATTGTGGTTACTGCCGTCAGACTCGGGCTCATTCATGTAAACGCCAACATGTCCTGTATGAATTTGTTCTACAACGCAAATCAGCAAATATGATCCACTTGTTTTTGTACTGAAGATTATGACATTTCAGTTTTTCTTTAATTAAATGCACTCAGTATTTGCTGAAAATAAACATTTTGTATGATTTCTCAATCCTCAAACGCTTTTTATGACTTAATAATACATGGGTTTTATACAGTGCTTTCTGGGCACACACATTCTTCATTCACTCCATACACTGGGGATACAGCTGCCCAGGGGCGCACCGACGGAAGGCAACCAGTGTGTGCCATCGGCCCCTCCCACCACCATCAACTGATCACACACAGCAGACCCATTCTAATGTGGGTGAAATGTCTTGCTTAAGAACATAAACTATCACAATGAATTAAAAAGAGTAGCGAAACAATCCTTCAGTTTTTTGCAGCGTAACAGAACTGAAAAAAGGCGACACGGTGGCTGAGTGGATAGCACTCTCGCCTCTCAGCAAGAAGGTCCTGGGTTCGAATCCCGGTTGGACCAGGGCCTTTCTGAGTGGAGTTTGCATGTTCTCCCCGTGTCTGCGTAGGTTTCCTCCGGGTGCTCCGGTTTCCCCTACCACTAAAAATATGTACAATAGGTCTGGCATGTGCCTCCTGTACTGGCACCCCCACTCCCAAAAAATAACAATTGTAAACCGCTTTGAGACTCCGATGTGCAGTGAAAAGGCGGTATATAAATAAAATAAAGATTACTTACTTTTAACCTGGATTTGAACATTTTCAGGGTAGAAGCATTTCTACATTTTCAGGAAGACAGTTCTAGATTTTAGTTGCATAAATGTGAAACGCTGTGTAGTCCAGACTCTGGGCACCAGCAGGAGGCCAGTCCCTGTGCTCCTGTTAGTTCATATGGTTTTAACATGTCACAGATGTACTTTGATGCCAGGCCATGGTGAGGCCGAGCTGCTTTAAAGTCCATACTCTGGCCACAGGAAGACCAGGGGACTTCTTTGTGTACCCTCCCCAAGTGTAGATTATTTAAATGCATTATACTAATCGCTTGTTTAGATTTTGGTTCTAATTTCCTGTTTCACATTAACCCCGTACTGTCCACTAGATGGCAGCAGAGTCTCCAAATCAAATTTATTTTTCTATTTATAAACATGTATTAAAACACCGTCTGAAGGTGCGTTCAGACTTGCTTTCGTTCACTTTAACCTAGTTATCACATTTAAAAGATAATTAAAACAAATATTGACAAAGAAATAAACTACAGACAGAAAAAGAGAAAACTAAAAGCTGTTTAAATGACTGCTCTGAGAGTTCAAGTGTTTACTAAAGATACAAAACAACTACAGCACTTAAGTATTAAAAACTGGGCCACACACACACACACATATAGAATCACATCAGGTAAAATAGGTAAAACTATGAAAAGATATAGGGCTGGGTGCAGATGTATCCAGCTGAAGAAGCGCCATTCAAGGAGCCATCTGCACCAGGAGCAGAGAGCCGCTTGCAACCACAGGGGACGACACAGGACCCAGAGGAGAGAGGAGGCCCCAGGCCCCTACTAGATCCAAAAGCCAGACCCTCGCAGCCACAGCAGACCGCGGCTCCCAGTGCAGAGGGCTCCACCAGAAGAAACACTGGGGATACTAAAACCATACAATAAAGAGTAAAACAGCTACCTAATATTAACAATAGTATGTGACAAAACAGAATACGTAAAATTAAATAAATAAATAAGAACCAAAATAAGATCTGTCATAAAAAATACTAATCAAAAGCTAAACTAAAAAGGTGTGTCTGCTTTTAAAAATATGAACGTTCTCTGCGGCCCAAGGATAAGGATATTTAACCTTTACAGTGGTAATCCTGCTCCACAATGGCTTCAATGTGTTTGTTATCATTGCATCTCCTGTCAATGAGCTGTTTGATGATCTGTTGTTGAGGAATCTAGAACTTTGTAAAGTCCTCCGACATGTGAACTGGACTTGGGGTGTTTGATAAATGATCTTCTGCTCTCCCTGTGTGTGATCATTAAGGCTAGCACCCGTCATTATATAAGAGCGAGGGTCCTGAGTTCAGCGCATGAATAAATTAATACTTATAAGATTTCTGGTTCTTCACCATAATGTTTTGAAGCCTCAGCTTGATCCACAAATGAGGAGCTTCTTCTTAACTCGCGTCTTCTACAGAAATATGCAAAGGCTTCACTTCAAACAGACTACATTTAACAGACAGTGAACTCTTCCTGAACTCCTGTCTCCTGAACTATCGCAGGGATCCATGTTTGATCAGGACTCATGTGAGAGACAGAACATCAGGCTAGTTATGATGATTACATAAACCCTTTGCAATTAATAATAGGAAACTGGGTTTATGGAACAGTATAATAAACAGATCTCTTTCCGTCAGTTGCACCTCCATCCATCCATTTTCTTCCCCTTGACCCATTTCTGGGGGGGGTGGCAGTCAGAGCTGCACCAGCCCCTCACTGATCCTCCTGCAGGTGGTGAGACCACAGGAGCTGAGATCTTTCAGTGGGGGCTTCAGGCAAAGTGGGGTTAAGTGTCTTGCCCAAGGACACATCAACAGCAGTCATCAGTGGATGTTGGTGGAGAAGGTCTCATGGAGGGCTCGAACCCATGACCTTCATGCTCATAGGCCAATGCTCTAGCAACTCGTCTAGGCTCGTCCTCAGCTGACAGAGAATTACAGCTCTCACAAAGGCCAAGTTTAGTAGATTTTTATGGTCTTTCTTTTGAAATCCATCAGTTTTGTATTAATCCACATTTTAGTGCCACAAACTCAACTTTCGTCCTGCTCTAAACAATTGGCTGTCGTCATCGTTTCTTTCTAAAAACTTGGCTCAGTTCTGATTGGTCAGAATGCTCACGTGCTGGTCTCAGTCTGCAGAAGTACCACACACACTGCTCCTCCTGCACAAACCGAGACCAGAGGCCATATTGTAGCCTCCATGGTGCGAGCATGAGCCAATGATAACTCCAGTAAGGGCAGGCTCCTTTTGTGGCACCGGCACCTGCCACAGCTGATTAGTGGCATGTACACAACAAATGGCGTTTAAAACGGCATGTGGACAACAAGTGGCGTTTAAAATGGCATGTGGGGAATAAATGGCGTGTAAAGCGGCATGTGGGCAATAAATGGCGTTTACAACGGCATGTGGGCAATAAATGGCGTTTAAAACGGCATGTGGGGAATAAATGGCGTGTAAAGCGGCATGTGGGCAATGAATGCCGTTTACAACGGCATGTGGGGAATAAATGGCGTGTAAAGCGGCATGTGGACAACAAATGGCGTGTTTAAAACGGCATGTGGACAACAAATGGCGTGTAAAGCGGCATGTGGACAACAAGTGGCGTTTAAAACGGCATGTGGGGAATAAATGGCGTTTAAAGCGGCATGTGGGCAACAAATACAGTTGAAAGCAGCCTGTACAAAAGACAACAAGCAGCATCAGTGGAGCTACTGGTCCAGTGGCTCAGATGGAAAAGCACAGGTCTACGTGTTGATGGTTGCTAGTTCAAATCCCCAGTGACCACCAATGAGATTTACTGATGTTGGGTCCTTGGGCCTAACACTTCATGAAGAATGTCAGAAATGCCATACATTGTTTGAAAAATGTTGTTTGAGTAATAATAATATGTTATTGCATAAATCTGTTGAAAGACTTAATTTCATGTATTATATATAGTTTAAATTCTATATGAGCTGCTTTATCCAGTGGCGCACTTGATTTATAACTGCCTCTCATGTGGAAGATACCTGGTTCAAATCCAGGACAGGTCATTATTTTTTCTTTGTATGACATTATATATGTATGACATTATATATATATATATATATATATATATATATATATATATATATATATATATATATATATATATATATATATATATATATATATATAAAACAAAAGAAAAAATCATTTTATTTCTCTCTCTTCTTTAATAAAACCACATCAGAAACATGGAACAATAAGAAAGAGCATTAATACATATATTTTTTTTTA